GGACTAAACTGCAAAATTCGATGCATATTGACACCACTATACGTTTACTTTCCTTATCACATGTCCGAAAACCTTCTAATTTATTTGTGTACGCATCAGACTTATGAAAAAAAAAATTGTATCTAAAATAAATTCGATTAACAGAACCTAAATACAAACCTTTATTTCAGTACTATTAAAACGACTAGTTGCACGGTAGCTATCGTACATTGGACCCCGTACAGCAAAAATAAATTCTTGATTGATAATTTCAGACAGATATTCTTTATTTTAATGGGCTTCCCACTCTATGTACTCTGTAATAATGACTTGAACGGTTGGAAAATAAAATATTGCGTAGAGAATAGTTCCGAATTGCGATTAATATAACTGAGGTGATTACATGGCACAGTGGTTAAAAGGCGGAAATATTCCATTTTTGGGGGTCTTTTTTGAGAAAAAAATTGATTTGATTTTCCACGAAAATTGTTCAAAATTATTTTAATTTTTGCCACTCAGATTTTGTATAGTTGGTGCAATTTTACTAGATTGCTCAGACAGGCTACCGTGATACGATATGATGTATTTAAATTTGTTAGATCAGATTATTGTAACTTTTCTTGCATACTAGATTTAATTTATGTGTATAATAGATTGTTAATATAATAGAACAATCGATTGTTCTTTATTTAATAATCGTCACAATGACGGTTTTTTATTTTATTTTATTTTATTTTTTTGTTTACCGAACATAGATGTGTTCTTTTATATATTTTTGTTTAAGGTGAAATTACAATTCATGATAAAAGGTTTTGGCTATATGTACTTTTTTTTTTTACACTGGCGACGTTTCAGTTATATCGCCATTTTCAAGCCATCTGTAAAGCGCACCTTACTCGGTCAATCAATATTATTGAGTCAAAATCGAATATATTGACCGTCTGAGGGATATATTGTAACAATTATATTGACTTTTATACTATATATACAACCTTCAAGAATGTTGCTTCCATATTATTGAGTCAATAATATTGACCGTAAGGTAGGCTTACGACTTAATTAGCGATTAGTTTCTCAGAAAATCTACATTTAACACAACGTGTTAGTGATGTCAATCATTTTTAAAATTTTACTTTGTGTAACTCATATCCCAAATGGGATTGTATCATTTAAAGTACATATTAATTTTTATTAAAAAGTGAATAACAATATTCTATCAATAAAAATTAAAGGTGTTAACGCAACGTCAATCAGATAATGGTTGTTAGTAAACTCTAATTTTCTTACTTAAAATAATGATACCAATGGGTTAAACAGTTCATATGCAAATGTTGTCACAGAATTGGTATTTTGATTGAACAATATCTTTAATAGTTTATGCAATAGTCTTTAACAGTATATTAAAGAAGTAATAATATACCTATATATAACCTCCCAAGTGCATACTTTCACATATGTAATAATCCAATTATGGACACATCTAACATGTTGGACACACAGCATTATTATTTTAAGTAAAACATTGAGATAATTCTATTTGGTATACAGTTTATACAATGCGAAATTTAAAATATGATTAACATCACTAAGACAGTTAAATGTAGATTTGGTAAGAAACTATTTGCTAATTAAGTCTAACATGTGACTGGCAAATTGCGATATAGCCGAAACTTTGCCAGTGTAGAAGATAAAAAATAGTGAAATATATATAGCCAAAATATTTTATTAAAGGTTTTTTCCTGAATTGCAATAAAATTGCATGTATTATTAAGCATGTATTATAGCAATATTTTCGCTATTTGTTACCCTGTTAATTTTACCTTCATTAGTTTGCTACCTCGTTAATTCTTTTAATATAAGTTTACAGGTTAAGGGCCAGTTGCTCCAACACAGTAAAGCTTAGATTAAGTGTTATCTAAGATTAGACACAAGTTTTACCCGTCGCTCAAACGGAGCTCAGCTTCGCAATTGAGTTTTATCTGACCGTGGACGATTAAGCTTTACTTCGAAGGAAAAACTTAGTTACAATGGCAACTATCGTAATCTAACACGCTGCTTTTGCTGTATCGTTTGTGTTAATCATTTTTATTTATCTTTTCTCTTGCAAAAATGGATATGCTAGATTTTGGCGACAACACAGATGACGATGATTTTCTCGATTTAATTGCATTATTACTAATCGAGAAAAAACTATATCGTCCTCAAATGAATCTTTTTGTCCAGTGGTCTGATGACGAAGTTTTTGATAGACATTTTTTGATATTACTAACACAAATTAATTCAACTATAACTTTCGTTAAACGAAAACAAACACGACGTTGAGAAGCTCATACAACAAAGAACTGTAGAAAAACCTATTAGTAACCCTCTAGTTCCTTTCTACGTCTCGGTTTAGATTTAACTTTTTACCAACGGCCGAAAGTGGTGATAACAGAACTCACGGTGAATAAAATGGGCTTGTTAAATTATTGACCTTATTAATGAAGGATTCACTAAATCATCCGATGGGTAGACGGAAACGAAGATGGAAGGATAAGGCTGATTTGGTTTCGGGAGGCGCACACTGGTGTTAAACACGTTATTTTCGGAAATAAAATATAGCATAACTTTTTTGACATTTGACTTAAAAACCAAAAAATTATCACCACTTGTGTATTTTGCTATTCTAAATCGAATTAAATAAAAATGAGATAGCTAACTTTAAGCATTGTTGTTGTTATAAAAATATTGTTTTAAATTTTAATAAATTCTGAATGTATATAAATCTGATAATTCAAGTCAACATTATTTGCCGAAAATTTAAAAACTAGAAAGATTGAAATAAAAATAAGAAAATATTGAAAACTGACTTAATAAATATATATATATATATAATAATTAATAAGTATGGAACAAACGGTCCAAGTATAAACATTATTTCTTTTAAAATAACTATATTCTCCGTTGAAGTAGTGAGCTAATAGGTAACTGCAAGACTTGCGAGACTCTTGCACAAGATCAAGACCAAGACCAACAGAGTGCGCATAACCAAGACTTATCTTGGTTTGCATTTAGGCAACACTACAGGAGGCCGAAGTGGGACAGGGCGAAGCTGAAAGAAGCATAGACATTTACTGCTGTAGGGATGCTTGGATTTCATATCAAAAAAGCTGGTCGGTTTTTTAACGGGTCAAACTATTTTCACTCTGCTTAAAGGTGTGCTAAAGAGAAAAGTAGTGTAAACATTTTCCGAATTTTTATTTCATTTTCCTCTTTTATCTAGCTAAGTTGCGTTTTGCATTAAATCATGGATAATTTGTGATGTTTTTTTTATTTCTTCGGCCTCCTTTAGTGTTGCCTAAATGCAAATCAAGATAAGTCTTGGTTTTGCGCACTCTGAGTTGGTCTTGGTCTTCATCTTGTGCAAGAGTCTCGCAAGTCTTGCAGTTACCTATTAGCTCGCTACTTCAACGGAGAATATAATAGATAACGAATAATTTACTTGTTTTCGCAACTTATGAATAATTTATTTATTCATATTTGTTATTCATAAGTTGCGAAAACAAGTAAATTATTTGTTATCTATTATTTGTTATTTAAGATAAATTTTTCCCTACACTGCTAGATAATATATATAGATAATAGTAAATCACACTTATTAAGAAGGGCACGTTTTCGGATTTTTTTTTGATACCATTTACAGGCATATACTAATAATAAAATACTAACACCCTTTTCAACCTGTCTCCGAACACAATCATTGGTTTACAATTAAAAACTAAGTTGAAATAATTATGACATATAAGTGTACTTAATTGAACTGCTTATTATATATTTTTTAAAGAAATGTTTGGTTCTGAAAATACAACTTCATTTCAATTTTGCCGTTCAATTATTTTGGATAGTATTATATAGTAAATTAAATAGTAAATTATTGTATCTAAGTTTTTGACTAATTGTAACAAATTTTATTTTTAATTAATAATCATAAGATTTTTAATAATATGTAAAATAATGAAGAACTATGAAATATTAACTTAAAATGTTTGAAGATCATAATCACATATATTTTTTCATAGTCTATTCACTTTACTATTTCAATTAAAAAAATTAATAAAACACCTAAAAAAATAAAACACTAAATAAAAAATCTAAAAGGTGTGTTATTCATTTTTATTATTAAATATCCGATTGTTCAAGCTAGAATATTTCTTTAAATTGGAAATCGTTATGCTCTTATAGTCAAAGATAATTAATCCTAATCTTATTTAATTTTTAATTAAAAACAGATAAATTATATATTACTTCTTAAAAGATAACATGACTTTATTTGATTACGTTTTTATTACCTTATATTTTCATGAACTTAGTAATCACTATTTATTTTTAATTAAAGAAGAACAAACTCACCGTTTTCATTACTGTCCTTGCTTTTTATTGAATCTTCGTAATAATCCTCGTTTTTATTTGGTAAATGTTCTGAATATGCCATGGTAAAAAACAATTAAAAAATCAAATGAATACACAATTATTTTATTGCGAAAACTTAAACAATATCTTAACTGAGTTCACATTTTCAAACTGCTAAAAAAGCGATAAAAAACGTTACGAAGTACGGTAAAAAACAGTTACCGATTTTTCTGCCATTAAAAAAGAGTCAAATATAAATTATATTAGTCAATGTGATAATTTTGCAGTTTGTATTTGTAAACAGAAATTACACATTATAATTTATTCCAATTTTCCATAGGGACATAATTAACTAAAGATGATTCTCTTTCATATTAATAGTAAATAACTAAAACCTATTTAAAAGGTCGTGAAGTAGTAAAGCGGAAATGATATTAGCGCGCTAAGTCAAAAATACAAAAGTTCTGAACTTTGTATTTTTAAACTTTGTTCTTGTACTTTGATTTTCAAAATTTTAGTCTAGCTATTTGTACAAATTATTTCTTTAGTACAATCAATTAAGTACGGAATTCCCTTTCGATAATCTTCATTTAGAAAGTGCCATAAAATATAATAATATTGTGGATTATACTCATTACGTATTCAAAATAGTATTCATGAGTAACATATCCTATATAACAGCAGTAATACTTGTACAATGTTTTATGATTTCATTTCTATAACAAGTTATCCATAAAATTATGCCCTATTATTTCTATCTGTAACCAATTTTTGTTTTTAAATTTTAGTATTTGCATTAAGTAAATTATTAATATGATTAAGTAAGTTTCTGCAACAATAGCTTTCAAATGATCACAATAATCATTTGGGAATTAAAAATGAATTTGTTTGTTGGAAGGTTCTATAATGGTTACAGGAGTGGATTTTTTGACATTTGTGGACTGTAAGCATTTTTATTGTATGTATTAATTATGAGGTACAGTATGCAGGATGCATTATGAAGCAAAGAAGTTGCCATTACCTGGTATTATACTTTCATTGTTTATTCTTATTTCCATGTTTAACTGTATTCCAATTTAATGAGATGGAAACGTTATTATTTGTCCTCCTTTTCTGCCTTCAGTATTTATATAATTTGCCCAAAATTTTATTTCTATTGTTTGAGTAGAAAGTTTATGACAACTTCAATTTGCATGAGAAGTGACACTCTGCTCTTATCACGAGAATATTTTTCCCAATTTTTATCAGATAATATTTATTGTATATTTGAAATATCATTGCTAACATATGGTCAATTTATAAAGATAAAATCAATTGTTTTTAGTTGAGAATATAATTTTTTGTTTTCTTTTAAAATATTAACGTTTACTTATTTTGAATTAATAGTAGGTTGCTCTGCTTTAATAGCCGTAGTTTCTAAATATATATTTTGGTGAATCAGGGAATAAAAAACATTTAGTATTGGTTAATTCAGTGTTATTTCTAGTTAGTAGCATTCCTACCCTTTTTTTTTTTACGCTTCTGCAAACATATCCCTTATTGCACCAATTAATATATTACTTAATGGCAAAAAGAGGTTTGGATTATTATGGAATTCTTGGTCTTACCAAAAGTGCCAGTGATTCTGAAATTAAGGAAGCGTAAGTTTTTAATTCCCATATCATTTTAATTATTTTTTTTTATGTTTTTTTGAAAATTACAAACTTAAATTCTTCAATCTCTGAAATGTAGATAAACAATTAACTGATAACTCCATAAATATAATATATCTTGGCTTAATTAAACAAAAATTAAAATAAATAAAATTCCTTGAAAAAAAGTTTTCCGAAACTTAAAATAATTTTTTTTAAAATTCAAACATGGACTCATATTTAGTAAAAATACTATTGGAATCAATAATTGCCTGAAAAGGTCAGGGCATGGAGTGGACAAGGTTTTTAACCAAATCTAGATTTATTGTTTCCCAATCTAGAAACAAAAGTTGCTTACCGTAGTTTATTCCAGTGATTTTACGTTTTCTCACATTCAGATAGAGATTATGCCATAAATATTTAATGATGATTATGTCTGATGATTGAGGAGTGGTATACAGTTGTCTTCACACTTTGAAAATTAATCATTCCTTGGTTTTTGTAGCAGTATGCTTTGGATCATTGTTCTGCTAGAATTCATTCATAGTTTCTTTTCCCGGAATATTCACCACTTGCAATTAGATTATGGTGTAAAATGTCCACTCAGTCTTCTGCAATCATAATTTCTGGAAATTCCTGTCAATATACAAAAGATTTCATAAACCATGGTGTGAAACAAATCCCTACACCATAATAGACCACCACCAAATTTTTTACTGTAACAGAAACAATTTACTTTTTCAGTTCTTCCTTATGCCACTGCCAAATACTATTCTTAACATCAGATGCAAACAGCCTAAACTTATTTTCATCAGGAAATATGTTTAACCATCAGCTGAGCAGTTTATTTAAATATTCTTTAACAAAAGCAAGGCCCTCTGTTTACTTTACTAATGAAAAGTTTCTTATGAGACACCCTACCATGGAGACCTTAAGAATTCAGGTGATATCTGATTGTCCTCTCAATAACCAGTAGTTGTGTGAACTATATTGGCCAGGTTACGAAAAGTTACTTCTGCCATCTTCAGGGCTTTATTTTTTATTTTTCTCCGGAAGTCTTTTTAGCACGTCTTTTTCACATAATGTTTTCACCCGTTCCATTTTCCTTGTGCCTTTTTATAATATACCTAAGTGTGGATAAATTTAACCCTTATAAATCCATAATCTCCTGGTATGAATTTTGTAAACTTGGCTATAAAACAATTTTTTTATGAGTCTCCAAACATAAATAATTTTTCGTTGGCATAAACTATTAAAAACTCTGTAAAAGATTACATGATACCAATAGTACAATTAAGAATTAACAAAAGTAAGTCAATAAAATAAAATTAAGTTGGTCAACAGTGGGTGCAAATACTTTTTCCAGAAAGTTTTATCGTTTTCTTTTCTTTTTTGTTTAATTAAGCTAAGAGGTTTTATAATTGTATACACGTGGGATGTTACGGATGAAATGCTAACCCAATCCAAAACATCTTTCATAAACATTAAAAAAGAAAGTCATCATTTAGATATGGTACTTCACTCCAAGACATCCAAACAATATGAGATATTTGTGCTAAGTGCCTCTTTTTATTTTATTTATCTATAAAGCTGTATATGGTGATTGTTTGTGAATATACTTACTTAGAGAAGTGATGTGCATCAAATTATGTTATATTTTAAATGAAAATAATTTTTTATTAACTTTGACCAGTTCCAGTTGATTTTACATCTGCTTTGATACCCTTTTACTGCTAGTGACCTATCAATTTTCTCCATTAAATATAAAGTAGATGAAGACTTCAAAGAAGTGCATTTTATTAGAGCTGGTGGACTTCTGAAACACTCACTTAAACTAAAGTTGGCTACCCTTAAAATAATTTTAAAAAACTGAAGATATTAAATTTTTCCTAAGATATATTTTTCCAATTTACTATGATGTTTTAATACTCTTATAATGCACAAAGAAGTGAATTAATTTACAACAAATGCCTTATAAATTTTCATTTCTTTTTAATATTTCAATGCTAACGGTTATTGTAGATAATAAAATTATGAAGTTATCTAATTTCTGAAAAAGAACAGTTTTTATTTTTAAAATCATCTAACATTCTCTCCAAATAAGGTACGAAATTTTTTAAATATCAGTATACCATAGCAAGAACTGTTATTAGATAGCTATCCTTCTCCAAAACGTATTCAATGTATTAACGCCATCAATGACACAAGTTAATTCATATATACAAAAATTTGCCCAAGATAGTGTATTCAACATACAGAATTGGTAACGCTTCATTCCTAAATATAACTGTTAAAGTAACAATTTACTTAATAAGTGATTAGCATAGGTAATCTATAAAACACTGCTATCGCTGAGCTTATACTAATCCATTATTGTACTCTCTTAAAAACTATCATCATACCTTTTGTCAAAGACTATCATAAACAGCTATATTTTAGTTTTTAAAACCTAAATATGTGTAAAGTATCCTATGGCAACTGCAGCAACTATGAGGCTTTTGGCAAGAATAAACTATTCTGGATATTGATGACCATGTCAAAATCCTTTATAACAGAATTTGTCCCTTCTCAATCTGTCGACATTTGAAATTTCCCAATTTTTTTCAATGATTTTTATTGTACCTGTTGTAGAGTGGATACTCTAGATCCCCTAGACTGATCTTTATCCTTATATTCACCTTCTGCAACAAAGCACCTACCAAGATGTTTAAAGAAATTAATAAATATCGTGGATGTCAGGACATATATTGGGGGCTCTAAACTCCAGTTAGAGTAATGTTTTGTTGTGTGGATAGTGTAATGGCTATTGCTTGTATGTCGGGTGTTTTGGGTTATTGTAAAGAATTATGTTTTAGTATTATTGTGACGAGTATGGCAGTGCTTCCATGTGAAGTATCGTCTGGATTGTCAGTTCTGTAGATTTTATAACCATGGATGTAAAATTTAGAATGTGGTGTCAGATGAGTTTATTAGTTTGTGAGTGAGTTTATTATTGAGATTATTAGTGCAATTTCAATGCGCTTCTCATGTAAGAATATATATAGTTTGGTTCTGTGTTGGTTTAGTCCGTTTGCGTTTCATATTATGACAGACGCGGAACCTACAGTCACCTGATTATGGACCATACTTTTGGCTAAGGGCAAGGGTACCCTGGGATATTTGTTGTAGAAGACCCAAGAGGGGCTTTATGAGGTTATTGAGACCATTAATTAAATTCATTATCCCGCCTGATTGCGGTTTCAGTTGGAGGAACTGGTTGGGTAATGCACCTACTCATACCTATACATCTCTGTTCGTTATATGATGCTGCAGCTGGTTGTTGTAGCTGCTTCTTCTGCTTTATTTGCGGTCTTGATTGGAGTGGATGAGACTACCGGGACTGGTGGAGAAGCAAAACCTTTTTGAGTGCTGTCGGTGTGGTCAGAACTTTAAGAGGTCTCTGCAGCATATAATTTCTAGTGCGGCTTTTCCTGAGCTCCTTTAAAGTTTCAACCTCTATAGTTAGCAGGATGTGGACCACGAGGCCGGCCGCAAATTGAGTGCAGCACAGGAGCGAGCAGCAAAGGTATAACAGAGGGCCCAGTTCTGAGCCGTCCCAGCTCAGTATGTGCCTATTTCCGACTATAGCTGACAAGTTATTTAAATAAGTATTTATTTAGATCTTCAAATTTTAAGATTACTCCCTCATGTATCAATTCATTATTGATTAATTTCAACTTATTGGACGAATTCTACGAATTAGGAGTCTGTTGTTATGTTATCGGCTTAGTTTTTAAAATCATTATCGATTTTGTGATTATTCCTTCCCTTATCTATTGTGTTAGTTGTTATTATTATAAATAAGTCCCATTGTGTTAATGATTAATTATTAATTATTTTATATACCTCATCCATTTTGTTTGCAATATCGTATAATTTAGAATTTGATATTAAGTATTGAGATTTTAAGTATTATACGTGAATGAGAGATCTCCTTCCTTAAACACCTCTGCTGCGCCTGCTCTGCATTCAATTTGCGGCAGTTGGCACATGTTGTAGCTGTATCGAGTTTTGATACAGGACATGCTTTTTTGCTGAATATCTTTTGTCTGTTTTTATACCACAAACATAACTCACAAATACTGAGTATGATGTCTCTACTACTAACTTTACCTCCTCTTTCCTTCACTCCTCCCTGGTTGCTGAAGAAATCAAAAAGTTACCTAAATGAAAAGCTCCTGGATATGACTTGTGATTAACACTGAAATGCTCCTAAAAATGCCTAGGAAAGCTCTAGTGCTTCTGACAACTATTTATAATGCAATACTGAGGACAGCTAAATTCCCTCTACAATGTAAATACTCACGTATGACAATGATCCACAAGCGTAACAAGTTCAAAAACTTATCTTCCTCATACCAACCAATCAGCTTACTTCTTGTCTCTTCCAAAATTTCCAAAAGCTTACTACATAAAAAAATTATTGATACACTAATAAATTCAAATAATACCAGTTCATCAATTTGGATTTAGGACACATCACTAAACTACACCAAGTGAGGGTCTACATATCTATGGGACTAGTGTGGAAGTTGTACACAACTGGCGTATTTCTGGATGTTGCTCAAGCGTTTGACAGAGTTTAGCACCAGGGTCTTCTCTTTAAACTGTAGACAATACTTCCACCTACCTACTATCTAATTCTACAATCCTTCTTTTTCAACAGATTTTTCTCCATCCGAAATGGGTCAGAAATATCTTCCTCAGCAAGAGTACCACAAGGTTCAGTACTCGCTCTATTATCACATTGAAATTGAATACATAATATTACTTACTAAAATCTATTTGGATCTAGACGTCACAGATATTTGGAATAGCTAAAAAGATTCACATAAACAAATTTCAAATCTTTCAAGCAAAGTTATTCAGGACAATTACAAAAGCATCTTGGTAGGTTAGCAACATAACCTTACACTCTAACCTTCATTTGCCGACTGTTAACGAACACATTCGAACCCAGTACAATCGATTTCATGATAAATTACAAAGACACCCCGACACACTCATAAATGACATGGCCACATCACACATGCCTAGTAATGCCCATAGAAGGTTAAAAAGAAGCTGGATGAGGGACCTGCTCACCCAACAATTAGTATAGCTATCACGCCAAGAGAAGGTACCGCTGGGTACTGCTCCCCTCATGCCTCTTATGTCATGAATTCTTTTAGAAATCATAAATTTCACTGGTTGTCATATTGTTTTTGACAGGTGTAAGTAAAGGTTAAAGGATAAAAAAATTAATTACTTTTCTAATTATTAATTGATTCTATCTATCCAAAATATCAGAATAATGAACCAAATATTGTATACATTTTTAAATATGTTTATTCTTCCTTGTGTTTCATAACTCATTGATGCTTTTAGGTACCGTTACTTATCACTTCAATATAACCCTGTACGTAATAAGGATCCAAACCTGCAAGACCTATTCTGCTTGGTTGGTGAAGCTTATGAAGTTCTCACGAATCCACTCCTTAAGTCAATTTATGATCATTATGGAGAAGCTGGTTTGAAAAAAGGAACACTTACTCCTGTAGGATGGCATTCACCTTGGGTTTACCATGGAGAACCTATTAAAACATTCAAGTAAGATATTTCATTATGTTTTTTTTGTTATGCCATCATTAGTTTATTTAAAAAAAATTAAAACCTTCTTTATTATGTGTCATCTTAACTGTTGTGGAGAGTGTCGGTATAAACAAAAAACAACTACATAATCTCTACCCCATTTCAAAGTTTGTCAGTTATTTGAGCTCTTATAAAAAAATAAATATTATAAAAAATAGAAAAGGAAAAAAGACAGAAGTAATTAAAAATTGAAAACAAAATTTTATATTATTTTAATTATGAATCGAGTGATTACTGCGTAATCATAAAAATGAACCTAAACTTTACATAAATTATAATGATATATATCATAAAAACATGTTCCTTTAAAAACAAATTATAGCAAAAAAAAACAATAGTAAAGAAATAAAAGAAAACAAAATTAATTAATTGAGAAAAAAAAATTAAATTATTAGTGCTGTAATATTTGATACCATTATTACATGGGACGATAATGTTTGTTGGAAATAAAGATTATTAATAATGTTTAAACAAATGTCTATTATGTGATTTTTACAAAAAAAATTAAAAGAGCTAATTCTCTCTGAGAAAATTTATGGTGAAGCGTCTAAACTATGTATGTGCAATGATGGTGTTCCACTATAAAATTATTGAGTCCATAATAAAATAAAATAACTAGTTTAAATGTAGGAGGTCAATTTCTTCACAATCCAGCTGGTAGCCAAGGAAGAGAGAAAGACGCCGACAAAGGTAGAGAGACGCCAACTGACTATCTAACATTCTAGCTGGGAAGAAAAAAAAGCAGCCGAATCTCCATTCATATGTAGACTAGCAAAGGGGAAGGGCATAGTGGGAGGGAGGGTATTATTAACTAATCTTAATCCATAAATCAGTTGAATTGTTATGTACACATCTGAAAGAAACTGACAAGGGGAGTATTCAATCAGTGGATCATCGATTTCCACCACATTTTTCTCAGTGATGCTTGCTATGTTCCTGCACATCACGTTTCTACAGCATAGAGGGGATTCCAGGAATCGCATTTATTTCTATTGAATGTATTTGATATTTATATTTATATTTATATTGGCCCCAGAAGTTAACCTATCTACTTAAAAATATATGAATTGTGCATTTAAAGGTTAGATACTACAGACCTCCTACTGTAGTATCCTAGATTGAACAATATAATTTTCTTCTGTTCATTTTTCCTACTTTTGGCGTCTTGAAGTTTTTTTTTTTTTTTATTTGTTACAATAAATTAGGCCATTCAACATTTTATTATTACGCATCAATTTGACGTTTTGACCATACTAAGGGTCATTTTCAAAACTTGATGAGTCCTCCTAATATGTTCATCATTAATGTTCTAATTAATATGTTCAGTGAACATTAACTTGTCATGCTATATAGATAGGGGCTTCACCCACGTCATTTCTGGAGGGACTAAAATCAGTCGGGACTGAAAAAAAAAATATATATATATAATTTTCATTGGATATCTTTTCAAAAGTTGTTATGTTTAAAACTTTGCTATTTGTATCTATATCTAAATGGTGGCATGCTAGGAAGATTGTTAACGAATAAAAATTTAACAAAAAATAATCTATTTATAATTTTAAACCAAAAATAAACATTATATATACAATCACTGGTGGAGAATGCTAGTATGAGAACTGATTTAAGTTACTAATAAGTTATTGATTCCATTATTGTTATTGACTGCCAGCACAAGTTTACATAGGTATATATAAATGGATGTTGTGACTTATCTGTTGTATCTCCTCTGGGCCTTAGGTGTTCCTCTCAAATATCCTCATCTGCCTCTCTCTTGAACCCTCTGCCGTCTCAGACTGACTGTCTCCTTTCTTGATTGCAAGCAAGAAACTGTCTCCTCTCAGCCTCTTCTGACCCACTCCTCAAGGGTCTTGGGCCGACCTTTGTATTGGCAATCCTTATCTTTATGACATCCATTAGCCAGCAGTGTACCACCATCCCGTGGCCCACCCTCCCCCCAAGGACCTTATCTGCCGCTGGCCTAAGTAAATAAATGTACAAAAAACTTTCTTTGGTTTTATTTCTAGTCTATTTATTTATATGAAATATTTTAAATATAATTTAAATCGAGATTCTCCGATACATAACATTCTCCTAGTCTTGGGGAAAAGAAAAAGAATAAAACTTAGACTTTTTCTTTTTCTTGAAATATTGTCATTTTAACTAATTTAGTGATACATTTATACCCCTAAACCTAGGTCTGTACAGGAAACATTAATTTACAGAATTTATAAAAAAAAAATAAAATTTAAAAAAACCAAACAAGTGTATACAATATATAATAGCTGTATTAGGAATTAAATTTGTAAGTGGTTTTATACAAACGATTGTATATCAATATTTCTTTGATATAAAATTTTAAGAGTATCAAAATTCATCAATAACTGAGTCGATAATATAACTATTACTCAGACACCGATCATATTTCATTTGACAAGATTATATTTATTTTGTTAAAACAAAAGCATTACTAACGAAAACAATCTTGTCAATATTTTACAGCTATTGGTTTATTATCATTTTAGACAAATAATTGAAATAGAACATAATTATTAACTTAATCATATTAATATAATGTCTATTCTTTAAAAAAAACAATGTCACATCCAGTATTTTTCATAAATCAAAGCTTAATTATAATGCATAATGCATCACTTAAATGTTTTCTTTGCAATATTCATTTATGAATTACTGAAACTCCATGTATATGCCATCTCAGCAATATATCAGTCAATATTTAACATGTATTACAATACGATACGTTCATTTGTTGTTAAAACATTGTACGTATACTAATACATAATCTCTCAAATTTAATTTTTTTTTTTTTAAACAGTCTTTTAGGGAATTCATCTGATTCTTCTATTTCACTCTCTGAAAAACTATATTACACACATAATACAAAAATTACATTATATTCATTGAGTTTTACTTATCTTGTGTGGCAGTCATCAAAATTGGAAAAGACTTTACTATTAGGTTTCTAGAGGTTTAAACCTCCATTCTACCTCAAAAATGTCTATTTTACTGGCTCAAAGCACTGAGCGTTCTCAATCAATTTCCAATTTGTAAAATTTAGACCAGAATTCATGTACATCTATGTACAATTAGATCACCAAGGGGAAGGTCGCGAAACATCTGTTCCGAAGGAATGGGCTGCCCTAAACAATTCGTGAAAGCTTTAAACCCTCAAAGTCAGGATTATACTGTACTGTTGAAATGAATGAATCTCAGGTTTTGATAAAACATTAAATTGAATTTTAACAATGATATATAAACTTACTTATGAATTGTAAAAGATACATATAAATTAGAATGATAAGGATCTACCAGATATTAAAATTTATCTTTATACACACTATTAAACATTTCACCAAAATTATAAAGTGAAGCATTTTATGTTTCTAGTATCACATTACCATTGGTTTCTTTGCTACTTATGGCCACTATGAATGGTTATATTTGCCTATTAGGATGTTATAAGCACATGAAGGATTATAATGAATAATAATTGAGCCCCATTCAATTCATAGAGTTTTACTTATCTATCGTGTGGACCAAACTAAATACCATCTCAGTACTGTGGGTGTATCCCTATAGATGATTTCTCTATCCTCTCTACATTATTAATTATTTATCCCATCTTAGGGATAAATGGAGGCTTTAACGCTACTCCACAATAAGGGTTCTCTCCTATATAAAACAATTAAAACTTACCAACCCACTTTAGGGTAATGAGGAGGATCTATGTCTTCTGTTGAGGGTAACTATTCCCTAATTATTAAACTACAACAATCCACTTGATATAACTGAAAATTAATCTTTGATCCTTTATTTCCTAGATGTCATTTTATCGGGGTGCCCACCAGTGCTTATGAATTAATTAATGCTATTTCTGACTTTATAACAAATTAAGATTTTTCAATGCGAAATCCGGCCTATACGAATGTAAGTTCAATGGAAAATTTACTCTTTCATTTATTAATGATTTATTGTTTTATTGATTATTAAATAATAAACATTTTTATTAACTTGAAATTTTGGTGTGGTATATCATTGCAAAGGTCATGATTTTACTTTACTTGTCAATATTGTTTCATATTTAAGCTATTCATCCAATTAGTTTCCTCGTTAATTTAAGTTCTTTATGCAAAGTCAATTAAGTCCTGATCCTAAAATCCTATTTACAATTATTTATATACAACATATTGTAATGTACACCTTTATTGGAAGTTGGTAAAAATGGTTTAATAAATTAATGTTGAACAGTTAAAAGACAAGCTAATCTAATTCTACTAATGTCAGGGGATGTTTAAATTTGAAAAATAGTTTCACTAGAGAAAAAAAAAATGGCTGTTCTGTAGTTTCTCCAAAAATAAAAATCTCAAAGAGGAGAGGAACAACGGATTTTTGTTTTTGCAAAAAGTTGTTGTTTTGCAGGATATCACTAGTTTGGAATTATTAGAGAAAAAATCTCTCAGGGAGCTTGAGTTGAGTAGATGAAAGTGTTACCATTTTGGAAGATGTGTTTGGCAGAACATGATATTAAATATCAATGTAGTTATCAAAAAATAAACTGGTGTACCTATTCAATAAAGATAAATAACATCATCAAATAAATAATTACTTATATAAAATCCAGATTTCTTGTATTGTGTAAGACATAAACTTTTTCTGTTTTTTTTTTCTTTAATATTTCATATGTGTACAGAAAATTTTTTGGAACTGCAAATCCATATGCTGATCTTATGTATTGCATGAGGGATCAAATCGCTGTGTTCAAAGCACATAAAATTGAAGATGTAAAAGTTAAAGAGCAACCTTATGAAAGGGAGCTTGACCTTACACTTGAAGAGGTGAAGTTTATTATTGCTATATATCGTCACATAACTTTTAATATCTCATTATTCAATCTTTTAAATTTTATGAGAGGTATAAAATAACAGCATAATTTTGTTAAAACTATAAATTAAGATAACAAAAACTAATCATGTGTGATCTCACTCATTTTTATAGGTTTATCGAGGAACAATGAAAAAGTTGAAAATTGAGAGGCAAGTGTTTGATGATGATAATGTTACTACCCATCTTCAAGAAAAAGTAATTTGTGTGAATATTAAACCAGGATTACCACGTGATTCAAGAATTGTATTTCAAAATGTTGGTGATGAAGGACCTGGCATTAGCCCTGGTATTTAATTTTTTAATAATTATTTTTAATGTTTCATTGTTCATTTAATCAATGCAAGATTGATTTTGCTTCAGTCTTATTTCTTGGGTGGGGCTTAAGATTTTTGTTAATAGAAACCAGAGGTTTCCAAAGTACTGCCCGCGGGCCAGATCTGGCAAGCACCTCCAAGTCCGCCCCACGAAGGTTTCTGTGATTACATGGTAAAATTTTAAAAACCGTATAAAAAATATGAAATTTATTAAATCACTCATACATGACATTACTATAACATTTATTTTATGAGTTTTTTCTCTTAGAAAGCTCATTTCATCGCTGAAGTGTCATTTATAGATCTAGATATTTTTTTTCATAGCAAGCCATGGCCCTAGGGACTTATAAGGAGATCTCAATATGGCCCGCGGAACATAGTAGAGACTTTTGTCTCAATTCTTTTGTGATTTTTTTCCATTAGTTTTAAAGATGCCTCATATTCTTTAAGTAACCTCATTATTTTATTGATGGAAAAAAGGTGAGCAGCAGAGTCCTGTGTTCCTATTAGTTTTGATTGAAAAAAACTGAAAAGGGATTGAATTCTTTCATTAATGCTAAATTGAGAAAATTGATTCGAATTCTAAAGTCTTACAAATTATTATTATACAATGGTTAATTATTTTCAAACAGTTATAGATTAAATATGCATTGCGTATACCCACACACAACTTTCCTTCCCCCATAAAGAAAAATATGTTAGGGTCGATGAAAAAATATTTATATAATATATATTTTTTATCAAACTATATGGTCAATTAAAATAATTCTCTTTGAATTCATTAATTCTCTATAAATCTTCCAGTAGATTTATAACTTTGAGCTATCAAAGAACAAAATCTAGGTGATGTTTCCTAGAGAACATATGTACAAAAGTTAATATTCCTAGTCTCAGCAACAAATTTCAATGTTTTTAGTTTCATTTACCTATATATGCAATATATAGCAAGGATTGTGAAAATTTTGGAATCTGAGATTTCAACGGAAATACCCGTCCTTTGAGTCCAAATAACCAAGTCCCATAAAATGGTTTGTGTGTATGAACCAGTCTAGCTCAAAAACAAAAGTCATACAAAACTGAAATTATTTATTTAAAATAGGTTTATTCCTGGGATGTTATAGCTACTTCTTCCAGAAAATTGGCTAACCGGGAAGTGTCAGTTCACATCTCCATTTTTACAATTTTTTTAAAAACAGCTATATTTCGATCAAACTTTGTATATCAATTAGGTAATAAAGTAATTTAATGGTCTTTAATATCAGCAAGTTCGTATCCTCATTGATGTAAACTAGCAAGACTTAAATTCCCAATGTTCAAGATTTCTTTCTCTAAAGTTCCTTTAACTTGGTTTATTTTATATAATTGTCTATTTTCCATTGTTAATTGATCAAATAAGAAAAAAATTAAATGTTTTATTTTTTAGGTTAAAAATGAATTTCCAGAAATAATTGTCAGAATTCATACGTAAAATATAACATTGGAAAACTGAGAATTTTAGAAAATACAGTATCTAACATACTAAGTCATTGAAGATAATGGAGAGTAACAAGAAAATTATAAATAATAATTTATTAAAATTATTTATTTATATATTTTTATTTAATGAAAATCTAATGTCTCCATGGAAACTAAAAAACATTCCCTAACATAATGTAAATTTTTGAAACTATTTTAAAGTTTGAAAAAAGTATATATAATCTACTAAATCTAGGTAACGAAATTGTTTAAAAACTATATTATTGTATGTATGTTAAAGAAGAAGTGGAATATAAAAATATTTCAAGAATGAGTAAAATATATGAATGCCCTCACTCACTCATTAAACCATAAGGTCAGACTGACACTAAGAGTTTGGATTTACTCTTCAATTCAATTTCGAATTATGTTTCATATCTTTTTCTTATCATATGATCCATTGTTGATTCATTTCAACCACTGTTAGTGTTTGATTCTAGTCAGAATTTGATCCAAATCACAGTCAGCTCAACGATAGCTTCCTATGTCTTGTATATCTCCTATTCACCAGCATGTTGTCAATTTGGTTTTTCATACTTTGTAATTTTTTTACTTCTACATGTCCCATTTTTTCCCTCTGTGCCTTAACCGCACGCTGCTGAGCACATCATTGTCGACTGTACCACTTTTGAAGGGCTGAATTGCAGAGGAAAACTGGTCACGACGTCCTCATACTGAACCTTTTTGTTCAGTTAGTCTCTGCTGAATACCCATACTACAAAGATTTTGTGTATGGGAAATACTGCGTAAAACTGTAGTGGGCACAGCTCACATCAATTTCACTAAAAGCAGCTCTTGGAAGACCACTGGAATGAGGAAGTGTCAAAGAAAAGCTGACAAAAAAAACTTACAATGGTGTGAGTGAGAGGTTATACATGAGTAACATCGTACTACTGCAAACACCCACATTACCTATAAGATACCATAGGGTTTAAATAGTGAATACACTCAATTTGGTCATTTTGCAAGACTTAGTTATTTGGACTCAGGAGTCCTCACAAAGTGAATTTCCGTTGAAAACTTGAATTCAAATGTTTTTACAATCTCAATACTTTTTCTTTTTATATATTTAGTATGTAGATAGGTGAAAGTAAAAAGTTACAATTGAATTGGAAAGTATTACAATGGACATGATGATTATTTTTAGGCAAAAATTAGTAAACTTTTGAGCTGTGTCAATTTATAAAATAATATTACATTAAAGTTCTTCCTTTAAAAAAAATATTTGCCTACATTAAATATTGTTTATAAATGTTCCCTTTTTTTGACAAAGGTTGGGAAGAAACTCTTGCCTAAGAAGAACTGTAAAAATATTTTACAACAGATATTGTTTGCTGATTTATTTATTAATCATAATCCAATAGTTTAAATCAACTTCTGTGTTAATTGAATGTGATATTTTTGATTATTGCTATTGTGTTTGTTTCTAAAAATTTCGTTTAAATATTTATTGTTTATATCAGGTGACTTGGTGATTATTACAAAAGATTTACCACATGATAAATTCAAGAGAGATGGTGTTAATTTACATATGGAAGTCTCATTAGATCTTTACCAGTCTTTTGAGAAACTGATTGTGGAATTGAATACATTAGATGACAGAGTAATTCGTTTTGCTATAACTGAGGTTATTTCGTAAGTGACCCTGAATTGAATCCAATTTAAGTATCCTTTTCAATTTCTGCCTTTTTTTTTTTCAGTTTTAAATATGGTATTTCAACACTGTAATCACCACCTATGCCGATGACACATGTATTCTATCAGTTAATAACGATCCATCTATTGCATCCCAAACTCTTCAATCACACATCACAAGTCTTGAAAATGGTGTCAAAACTGGAGAATTAAAATAAATTCCAATAAATCCCATCAAATTACCTTCACTCTTCGTCGTAAACCTGTGACTTCCTGTCCTACAGTATCCTTCAACAATAGCTCTCTTATCCCTGTCAATCCGATACTTAGGACTCCATCTTGACAAACGACAAACTTGGATCCCCTATACCAGACTGAAATGACTAGAAACCGCCCGATGTTTTCGACTACTTCAGCACTTACTAGACAAACGCTGTAAGCTTTCAATCAATTACAAACGACTCATATATATGACCATAATAAGACCTTTGGACTTCCGGAATTGAGCTTTGGGCTCCACTAAACCATCGAATTCCTCTCGTATCCAATCCCTACAATCCAAAATCCTCAACGCTCCTTACTTTGTCACAAATAAAATCATCCATAAAGACCTTAATCTTCCATATGTTTCCGATTTGGCCCAATCCAGATACCGTATTTTAAGTTATCTATATTTCGAAATAATTATCGCCTCACAAAATAAAATTATTTTATTGACTGAAGTAAGATAAACACAATAAAAAATCAGAAAGAAATATAAACTTTTTACCTTAATTTATAAATAAAATTTCATTTGAAATTCGCCACCTCCTAAATTCTTCAATCCAGTGCAAGTGCCCTCTTTAGGTCCCTTCCCTCTATTTTTAGCCTTGTATTTAGTATCACAATGTTCCATCTCCTTAATAAACTATGTTTTTTGAAAAAATGTTTTTAATTACAATAAAGTATTAATTCCTGAATCTTAAGAGTGGACATCAATAATGGATTTCGAACCAAAATATTGATTTTAAGTTATTCAATTTTTTTTTTCAAACAATTTTTCATTAAAGAACCTTAACTAAATTTGTTTATTTCCTACCCAGGATAAAATTTATATTATTGTTGCATCATTTTTTAAAAAGTAATTCTTTATATTAGTCTTTTAAATTTATATTAATATTAAAAATAAATTTTTTATATAGAAAACAAAAAATGTGCTATGCGCCATAACTTTGCCAGTAAAAATGAGCTATGTAACATAATAAATTTTTTTATTTTTTTGTGGGTATTTTTAAAATAAAGCGCATTATAAGGTTATTAAGTTGGTAAAGAGGATGTATTTTTACCAACAATTGGTAGAAATAGCATGCACGACTGGACCAATGATAACGGAGGGTACATGATAAGTTTTGCCACAGCAAATTCCTTAGTCGTAATGAACACAATTTTTCCCCATAAGCAAGCACACAAAGGAACTTGGACTCCACCAAATGGAGCCACAACTCAGATAGACCATATTCTTGTCACCAGTAAGTACTTCAACAGTGTGCATGACGTCCGGACTTACCGAGGCCCCGATGTAGACTCAGATCATTTCTTGGTGGTTACCAAGATAACATGCCATATACATCAGACATATAGAAGTAATTATGACCAGAGGCACAGGTGGGACAAAGACAAAATAAATAGAGCGGAGGTAAAAAGTATTTTTAAAAACTGCATTTATAGAGAGGTTGAGAATATACCAGCAATTGAAGATGGCAGAAATGTGCAGGAAGAATGGAACAAACTTAAACAAGTAATAGAGGAAGCCGCCGATCAATGCTGCAATAAAGATAGGAGAGTTACCCCCACTTCCTGGTATGATCAGGAATGTTAAGAAGTCATAAAAATCAGGAATATTAAGAGAGCAAAATACCTGAACAGAGACACTTGTCAGAATCGAAGAGAGTACCAAGAAGCAAGGAGCCATTCTAAGAAAGTGTTGAGACAGAAAAAAAGAAAAGTCTTTCAGGAAAAACATTGAAGAGGCAAGGCTTAGGAATGAAACAAGAAAAGTTCCTTCAGGACGTAAATACCGCCAAAGTCGGCTCTGTGAATGAGTCAGGTATGGTAAGAGATAAGAATGGAAAGCTGCTTGTTGTGGAGAACGATTTCCAGGAGAGATGGAAAGAGCACTTCCAGGAGTTACTCAACCTTGCAGATGGAGAAATGGGAAACCGTAGAACAGAATCAATAAGAGATGGATGAAGTAATGCAATCTGATTCGGCCGACATCGAAAATATTTTGGAAAAGCTCAGGAATAATAAGTCAGCGGGATCAGACAGGATCCCTGGAGAATTTCTCAAACAAGGAGGAGTCGCCTTGCAGATGAAATTTCCAAATTAGTATCAAATATTTGGGAAATAGAAAAACTACCGGAAGAATGGAAAGAGTCTCTCATTGTCCTAATTTATAAGAGAAAAGGAGATGTAAGTGATTGCAGAAATTACAGAGGTATCACCTTACTTAATTCTGCTTATAAGGTATTCTCTATTGCTCTGAATAATCGTATTATGCCATTCGTGGAAAGACAGCTTGGAGACTACCAGAGTAGCTTTAGGACAAATCGATCAACGATCGATCAAATTTTTGCCCTTAGACAGAGCATGGAAAAAATGAAAGAATATAATAACTCCATGTGGATATTCTTCATTGATTTTAAGGTGATGTACGACACAGTGATTAGAGATGAGCTTTGTTATGCAATGTATGAATTGGGCATACCAGCAAAGCTGATTCGTTTAACAATGGCTACCATGGAAGGCGCCGTCAGTAGAGTTAAGATAAAAGGAAGAATTGGCGACTCCTTTGCAGTTTGTTCGGGCCTTAGGCAAGGTGACTCATTAGCCCCACTCCTCTTTAATATTGCCCTAGAGACCATCATGAGAAGGGCAAAATTAAATAACGGAGGAACAATATTCCACAGAATGACCCAATTGCTCGCTTATGCTGACGATGTGGTCATTGCAGGGTGATTACTACAAGCAGTGAAGAGTGAATACATAATGAGGCAGGGAAAATGGGGCTATGCATCAACGATAGTAAAACCAAGGTCCTTGTTTTAAGAAAGAAAAAGCTTGTCCATCCACCACTGTACTATTTCATGGGAAACCATACTTTTCAAGCTGTGTCAAGCTTCACCTACCTCGGGTCCATAATTAACAATAGCAATAATGAAGAGTAGGAGACAGGAGCTAGAATAATGGCTGTCAACAGAGCGTACTTTTCTCTAGCTAGCCTTCTGAAAAGTAGATTGTTAAGTCATACAAAGAAGTTTAGGATATACAAAACGATTATTCGGCCAGTTGCAACATATGCGTGTGAAACATGGACTCTAACAAAGTTATCTGCTGAACGAATAGATCGATTTGAAAGGAGAGTACTAAGACGCATAATAGGACCTAAACTGGAGGAAGGAGTTCCCCGCTTGAGCACAAACAAGGAGATATACTCAATGTACGGTGAGCTGTCTATCTCCCAATTCGATCGAGTTCAGTGAATGAAATGGTTAAGACATGTCCTGAGAATGAATGAAGCGAGGACAGCGAGAAGGCTTTATCATTGGAAGCCAGAGAGAGTTAGGTCTAGGGGAAGACCGAAAGCAAGATGGATAGACAACGTGAAAGAGGATTTGAGAAAAAACGGCATATCCATCAGGTGCGCAGTCAACAGGAATGACTGGGCAAAGAAAATTGAGCAAGCCAAGGACCGCTACATGCGTTTGTTGTGCCAATAATCAATGAATGAAGGTTATTAAAATACAAATTAGTTTTGATATATCAATTCTAATCTATTATCAACTCTTCAAATACGGCAGTTTCTGTTGCAGATTTCTCTTTTTCTCGGTTGCTGTTTTTTTTACACTGTTGTTTTGATAAATCAAATTTTTTTATTATACCAGGTATATTATAAAGGGATAACCTTTCTTTAAAACAATGCAGGAACTTTCATGTTTTCATTTCATTAACAGTACTCTCATCTATCTAACATACAGATTTGTTACTACTTGGGGGCTAAAATAATTCACTGTCTTTTTTAATAATTTATCTTGTTTTGGTTTGAGCATATATCAGGAATAGGCCCATGAAAGGAATTTTGTAGGAATATTTTTTTAAAGGTTCTGTATCAAACACACCTGATGTTAGAGCCTATCTGGGTGTTAATTTTTAAAGTTACATACTGTAAATGTTTCTAATCCTGGCTCAAATACTTGTTATTGCTTTTTCTCTTTCCATACTGACATTTGTTCCTTGGAAAAGAGTTCAGTATTTGATAATAAGGTGTGTTTCTGAAAACTTGCTTTTTTGAACCTCATTATTCCACTTGCCTTTAAAGACTACCACTCTATATTTTTCTTTACTGTTTCGGATTTACATATTAAATTCTTCCTGAGGCCTTACATGATTTCACTTTTTCCTTCTGGTAATGAAAAGCAAACTATTGCTTGCCAACAAACCAATGATGACAATCAGACCCATCAAAAAAGAGTTATTTCATATTGTATTATAAATGTTGGAGCACAACTTACTTATTTTTATGCAGGACCCAAATGCACTGAAACTTACACTTGCAGCTGAATTGAAACAAAACATAGATTCTATTAAGAAACTAAACTATCATTTTCATCAGTGTTAAATTTGTTTTAATGAAAGCAGAAAACAGTGAGAGCCTGGCTTACAAGGCATTATAAGAAATTGAAACTAAATTCCTTTCTACTTATCCCATAAAGTATTTAAATATTGGTAATAAATTTGAATAATTATAGTCAATATTTTGTATCAACAAACTGAAGGTAAAATAAATAGATTTTAATAAAAATAGTTAAAATAGTTAGTTATAGAGATGGACAAAATCAGAATCAATGATTACATAATTACTACTAAAAATAAAACTTAATGATCACGTCAATTTTATATTTGTTTCAATAGCACTATAAATATAGCAAAAATGTGTCCTGATTACCTGATTACAACCGTAATGGG